TATCTATTATCTATCTATCTATCTATCTATCTATCTATCTATCTATCTATCTATCTATCTATCTATCCATCTAGCTGTCTGTCCATCTATCTATATAGTTAATATAAGTCTAGTGTAATATAAGTCTCAGGTGTCCCCAGAATACTCCACAGATCATTTATTGTAACATTTTGAAAATGCCTATTTTGTGTGGAAGCAGGCACAAAATAATGTTCTTTTTAGCAACATCATATGACCCCTTTCATTTATTTTTTTTGAGATGTTGTGTTACATTTTATATTACACTGAGCAGCTATATAAATTGAAATATAAAGTTTACATAGAATCAGAACTGAATTCATATGTTATATAAACTCCAGGAGGTTATTAGTTTACTGTAGTCTTTCCCATCCACTATCTCTTCTTATTTTGAATGTTGTTAATCTTTCTTTGAGAACAGGAGCATCTTAATACACCGCTTGCACACGGCAAACGTCCGACCTCTGGCACGTGTAATCGCATTGTTTCTGAGCTTTGAAAGAACAGCCATCTCTGATGCGTTCTGATACATAAAAGGATCTGTCTCAGGTTAAGGAGCTTTGAGAATATCAGCCCATTTGTGCTCTTATGCGGAGTGTCTGATACTGTGTAAGCATATTTAGATCAGATTAGTAGCATCTCGCTGATCTCTCAGGTAAAATATGCTTTTTTTCTCTCTCTCTCTGGTATTAAAATGCCATGCGTTATGAAGCGTACTCCATTATGACCCTGCCACATTACGGCTGCCTCACTATTGCAAGGTTCTATTACGCTTTAAATCAATATTTTACACAAAACCATATTTCCATTTTATGTCCAGCATTAATTTTTCTCCATTCACAGCAATTTAAGTCTTTCAACTCCTTAGGGTGCTCATTATAGAGAGAAAGAGAGAGAGAGTGAGAGAGAAAGAGTGGTGGGCGTTTCATTTCTAACCAGGTTCCAGCTTAGTGACTAGCACAACAGCACTGGTTGTGACTCAGCAAAATAAAGCTACAGAAATAGCTGTGACACAACAGACAAAAAGGGAAATTTAAGACAACATGGAGCTTACAATTTCACACAGACTCCTATAGCTGCCTGTGCAAGTACAGTAATGCTGCTATTTCATGGGGAAAAAAAAACTTGTGTCCTACCATTACACTTCAAGATATAATTAAGCTATTTACAAAATAAATATAACACCAGATAGATGCATGGATGGATGGATGGAATGATGAACAGACTGAAAGAACGATAAAAGGAAAAACGGAGAGAATTGGGTGACAGAAGAATGGTCGATAGAACATTGAGATTGAATCAAAAATAGAAGGATAGGATTATAAAATAGAATGATGGATAAATGGATGAATGTACTGACAGAACGATAGATAGATAGATAGATAGATAGATAGATAGATAGATAGATAGATAGATAGATGGATAGATGGATAGATAGATAGAGATCTAATTTTATATTTATATTATATATGTTGTGTTACATAAACTCCAGGGTCCACACAAGTTTATGGTATTGTTTCCCAGCAGTCTCCTGTTGTGAAATATGTTTGAATACACTCGCACATCCAAAGTGTCATCCAAAAACACTGAAGCTGAAGTTATCTGATATGAGGTCACTTTTCTTCATTTTAATAGCCCAAATCAACTTTAGTATATCAACAAATCTAAAAGAGCTAAAAAATAAAATAATACATCATGGTAACAAGTTTTTACTCAAATATCATAGTTATAGTCAATAATGCTACAATAAAAAGACAGCAGTTGTCAATAACTAAATAAATAAATAAGAAACTTTTGACTATCTGAAGCATTTCCCATATAAAATATGATTTTACAATACTAACTGTAGATTTTATTTTTTCCACACAAACTACGATTACATTTTTGTTAAAGAGAGTCTGTCCTTGGTGCTGAAGGTAATTCTTTAATTTCCTGCTGGAATAAGTTTGAAAGTCCTGATGAAGTTAACTTCTGTATGCAGACACCAACTCCACACTTCCTTAAAAAAGTTTTAATAATTCTAATGTTGGGAAACCCAAGAATGGCTGTGACATTTTTGCCAATTATATTCATAGTGGAGTGTCCTTCGCTTTGTTTTAGCTCATATGCATTGACATTCAAGACTGAATTAATTCTGATACAGTAATTATCCGAATATTTATCCTGGCAACAAAATCATGTTCTCATAGTCTCTGCTCTCTTTTCTTCTTTCTAAATTGTCTGTTTGATGTGTGAGTCTGGCTGTCACATCATTTGTTTACTTTTTCGTCTGCACTTATGTTAATTAAATTTAGCTTCACAGATCGTCCACCGTATCCTCGGAGAGGTTGCTTACAAGGAGACCGAGAAAGAGAGAGAGTTCTCACTTCCTAATGAGCCTGAAGCTTCTCGCAGGGCTACGGGATGCATATGGGTAGGAAGCTTTTTAGTGTCAGCTTCTTAAAAGTGCACAGGCCTGAAGCGATCCCTCATTCCTTTCCTTCGTTACACCGCATCCCGCGGCGTTTCCTGTAACCTCACATCTCTCGCCTTGTTTTCCTATATGTTTGCTTTCTCTTTTATTAAAAACCCATTTCAGGACGGGTTTGCCCCAGAGGAAGAGGCGGAGATGAGTGTAAAACAAAGATGTCCGTCAGCGTCAACAGTCTCAATAGTATAAGGGGTTTGCTCACCTCTTCCGGTGCTGTAGTGCTGGAGTTTGTCACTGTATACGGCCTCCTTAGTGTAAGCTCGTTTCCTTTGAGAGAAAGAGGGGGAGAGAATATAAAATTAAGAAATACAAAGTTCTGTCATGAACCTCTAGATGGCGCAGGCTGATAGGTTCTACATGTAACGCAATCTGATATAATCACATGATTATTCACAAGGCAAAGCTGATTGGTTCCTCTTCACATCAGCAGCCAATAAGCTTGCTCCTCAACATTAAAATACATGGCTGTAGTAGTTGAAGTGCATTTCAGAAACCCTCCACCTTCCCCAGCTCCACTTGTATAGATCGTCTACAAGGGGATAATTTCATGTATGTTATATATGGAGGTTATTTCATGTTATATGTGCAGCATAGCATAGCTCAGCTTGCTGAAATATAATGGAGCAGAGTCTGGATTATAGTGTCATGTTAAAGGGTTAGTTCACCCAAACATTTAAATTAGCCCATAAATT